GAAATTTGTATTTACCTATTTGTAACATTTGTATCCCTATCTTAAATCATAACAGAGAATTAAGAAAGAAACCCTGTTGTGATTAAAGAATTCTAAAAAGACATTGCTACAATTGTCCATTTGCCTAAAAATAGGCAAAGTGAATAAACTATGTAGTATTTTATAAGACTGGAGCAGTTAAACTCATCATAAAAAATAAGAAGGCATGTCTTTCTAGGTTGCAGGCTTGGATTTGAGGAAAGCTAAAAACAATAGGAGGGAATTCAACTAAGTAAGCAAATAATAAAATTCTGATCTAAGACAAGATGGTAATACCATCTCCACAAAGTGATACAAAACCTATGTTTTTGCAATACCCATTTAAATGTTAGTCCATTAAAATTTAGTTTATGTTTTTGGTCTTAATCCTAAGTGAATGTACTGTTCTCAAGCTATAGATGAACTTATTTCATGTTATCAAAAACATTATTTACTTAGCATATTCTGAAGTGTCCTTTCACTGCGTATAAAGAATGTATTTCTTTTTATCAATCTTCTCTGTTATTAAGAAAAAAAATTTAAAATTTTGGTTCTCTGTGTAATTGAACTCTGAACTTTAGTTTTCCCAGTACTTAAAATGTTTTTATATAGAGAGTAAAATTTAGCCTATTAGAATTTTCCCTGCCAGGTATGCTGAAAGAGACTATAGTGTTAAAAAATGACCATTTTATACAAAGGGATATCTTAATAACAAGTATATAACTTTAGTCTTTCTCATGATGCTTACCCAAACAGTGCAATAGACTAAAGGTCAAATAGCTAATATTTCTAATATATAAACAATTACATCATCCATGAGGGAGACAATGTAACAGCCATCTTTGAAGATGGCATCTGATGATTCTCACCTCTTGATATTTATGTTCCCCTATTACCTCTCCCTTTTTGAATAGAGTCACCTTTTATAACCAATAATATATTGCAGAAAAGATAGAGATTTCTGAGACTAGATCATGAACAGCTTCTATGGTTTCTCTTGAATCACTAGTTCTGGGGAAAATCAACTGTGTTGCCATGAAGACATCTAGCAGCCCTAGTTATAGGTCTGTATGGTGATTAACAGAGGCCTTCAGTCAATAACAGGCACCAACTTGTAGGACATGTGAGCGAGCTACCTCAGAAGCTGATCCTCCTGCCCTAGGCAAGCCTTCGGAGGATCAGCGCCAGGTGACATTTGACAGGAACTAAGTCAAAGACCCTGAGCCATATCCCGCTAACTGCTCCTGGATTCCTGACCCACGGACACTGAGATAACAAAAGCTTACTGTTTTAAGCTGCTAAATTTTGGGTTGATTTGTACTTCGCAATAGATAACTAATAATGACAATGTATACGAGGGAAAGAACATGGGCTGAGAGGTTGACAAATCTAAAATGTGTCCCGACAGCATCTTTTAAGTGAGTGCTCTTAGACAGGTTAAGTCTCTTATGTTTCCGTTTTGCCATCAGTAAATTGAGGATAATAAATCATACCTCACAGAGGTCTGAAGAATAAATAAGAGAGAATTTAAAGGTCCTGGAAAGTGATTTATCCTCAGTAACGTTTCTTTCTTTTCTTTAAATTGTGCTTCATTTTGCAGGGTTTTTTTTTAAAGGCTTTCAAGCATATTATTCCCAGCACACAGAAACGGATTGTACAGGATGTGGAAGAACTATATGCAGAGATAAGATTAGAGATGATCAGGTACTTCCTCTTGTTTATTTGTTTGTGTTTATTTGTTTATATTTATTTGAACGAAGATCTGGCTTTGAAGATCTTGATTTAAGCGAGATGAGTTTTTATAAGCATCCCCTTAAGTATAAATGAAGAGAGTAAGTTATTTCTGAATGTTTTTTGTAAACCTCAAGTATAAAAGATCTCTAGGAAATAAAACTCAAGATCTTGTAAAAACTATGCTCTGCTCCGACAGTCTCTGTCAGCCTCATGCTCCTGGTAATGACCTTGAGGTCAAGAAAACAACTTGAAAACATGGTGTATCTGTTTCTTTTCTGTCTGGTTACCTTGACTCCATTATTTCTGTGTCTTTGATGAAACCAATTGGGAAAGTATAAGTGAGTGTTCGTACGTGCAGTCTTTCATTTTGCTAACTTGTAAATTACCTGCAATGCATTTACCCTGGCATTTAACATTGATATTTCAAATTATTTTTGATAGACTCTGAGGTCCCATGAACAATACTGGGTGCCATAGTATAAGGGTTAAATCCACAGACTCTGCATGAATATTTGCAAGACTTCCTGGGCTCAAATCCCAGCTCTGTCACTAACTATAGACTTGTGCAAATTACTTAAAAACATTGTGCTTTTGTTTCTCTTCAGCAAAAGGTGAGTAGTATCTATCTTATAGGTTTGTTGTGAAAATAAAATGGGTTAATGTTAAATATCAGGTGCTCATTACATAGTTTTTCTTTGTTTTTTTTTTTTTTTTTTGGTGGTACGTGGGCCTCTCACTGTTGTGGCCTCTCCCGTTAAGGAGCACAGGCTCCGGACGCGCAGGCTCAGTGGCCATGGCTCACGGGCCCAGCCGCTCCATGGCATGTGGGATCTTCCCGGACCGGGGCACGAACCCATGTCCCCTGCATCGGCAGGCGGACTCCCAACCACACATAGTTTTTCATTTTGATGAAATAAATATTTTAAATGGCCTGGGCCCTTTAGATAGCACGGTAGATGCTCTTAGTGAGTGTAACAACAATCATTCAGCAAGCAGAATTTTTCTCTCTCTTACTCCCTGCATATACTCAAACTTGCTTTTCTATAATTTTACGAGGAATTTATATATTCTAGTGGTATTTGAGAATTTGAATATTTCCTCAAATATAACTCTAACAAATGATAAATGTATACTTCATTCTGAAGGGAAAATATGTTTGCCTTTGATAAGTGCATTTGATTTTCATAGCGGCTAGATTTTCTCATGTGTGAGTGTATTGGGGAGGGGCACTGACTGGGGGCAATCTATCTACCTTTTTTAGCAGTGATTCTAAACTCCTTTGAAAATCTAATAAAAGCTATAGTCCATCTCCCCACTTGGAAAAACAAAAATCACTGAAGCTACGGCTGTGGACACCAATAGGCTCTTTGCTACCTTTGCTATAGGCCAAGAAAGTGGGCTGAGGATTGTTGTTGCCTGTTTTGACAATGGTCACTGAATTTAGGAAAGGGGAAGAGAGAGGTATAGCAAAAAAAATTATTAGAAACAAAATGGACTTTAGCAAAGGAGTTCTCACTTGTGCTGCTAACAATAATTCTGCTTGTTAGCCTTTAAGAAAGGTATGACACAGTTTCAAAAGTGACTTTGAAAGATATGTAAAATAATTTAAGTCAATTTTTAAGACTGTGCTTTGCGGAGAACCAGAGATGGGGAGGAGGGGCTGCAAGGACATCCTAATGGAAGGGCAGGCTCAGAGCAGATGGAACTGAGGCTCCATTCACCCTTACTTTCACAGATATTACATATTGGGCTTCCAAAAAAGATTGCATTTGAACAAAGGGTTTCATAATTTTCAAAGGACTGAGAACCACTCTCCCAGATGTTTATCTCTAAAGATCTTCACAAACTGAAGACTTCCTAGCCTGGATTATCAGAATCTGAGGAAGGTTATATTGCCAGATATGTAATCCTGTAACATGGGAAAAGGGTGACCACAGACCAGTTTATCTAATTCTAGGTATACAAAAATATAGGGGCTTCCAGGAAGATACAAAGATTTAGAATTAGTAAAAGCATTAATTAATTAGTAAAAAGAAGTAGTAATTGAGCAGCCCAAATTGTAGAAGAGGTTGCATAAAAAACAACTATGAAAATTTTTAGGTAAAACCACTGTCAGTTATCCAAAACAAATGAGATAGCTATGGGGATATCTTTTATTGTTAAGCCTGATGCTCAAAGAGAATATCTTTCATAAATCCTCTTTTGATTACAGTTTAAGAAACAAAATACCTGCTTATGTCACATCCATGCTCATCCATTGTGGCAACATCTAAGTTCTTATGTGATTTCACCTGTTTTCTGTTCAGACGTTTAGCTGTAATTAGTTATGAGCCATGACACTAATAAATAAACCCCATACGTATATGTTGAATAGTATGAGATTGCCAACATTTAGCCTTTTTGACTGAAAAATGGAAAGTTCATATGGTCCAAACTAACATTTTCTTGAATACATCCCTTCCCTAGTTTTGAAGCAAAAAAATATATATTATAGATAATACCCTCCCCTCTGCATTACATCTGCCATTTTACCCAGGGGGGCCTATTCTTCTTTGATGGCTTGATAAGAGCAGGTGAAGAGATCTGACTGAGCCCACTGGTTGAAAGTAAAGAGGAAGTCATCAAGTTCTGTCTTCTCTTGTTCAACAGCTCTTGCTAAGGCTTTCTGAAGCTCCCCAAGCTCCTCTGAAGTTAGAGTAGTCCTCAAATCCCCTTGGTTAGTCATTCAACTATGTATTTTATCCCTCTACAGTCCCTTTAGTGATAGAATACTTAAATGCCACATTCTATGAAAGAAAATGTTAAAATGACTTGTGGGAGAGGGAAGCAGGTCAAAGGGTTGAGGATTATCAAGGAAGCCAGGTGGAGTCCACAGCTCCGATTGCTTTTGGAGTGCTCTCATGGAAACTGTGCCCAAGTCCTTTAAGAGCTGGTTTATTTCCCAAGTAAACATGGTTGCCGGCAAGAGCAATGGTGTGCTGGCTCAGAAGGGAGGGAAAGAAACGAAATGCACCAGTGATGGGGGATTTGAAGGCATTTCTGAGATCATATAAACCAAAGTGGACATTTCTTCTGGATGCTGTTAGCTACTCATCCCCACCATGTGGGCCTCTTCAGTTTGCCTGCCCGAGAAAAGGCTGCTGAGAATCATTCAAGCCAGTTAAAGAAACTGCTTAAAGTAAATATCTGAAACACAAACACATTAGCTCAAAGTGCTTGAAACAGAGTAATAATCACAAGGTCCTTACTTCTTCTCTCCTTTGTACCATTCAAAGGCCGGAGGCGGCACACCTGCACCTTCACATCTTATCAATCCGCTGCGTCCCGGGGCCACAGTGCCAGATTTAATTTCCTGAATCGTAGGAGCAACTGAAAAAGAAACAAAGAAAGAAAGAAACTGCGGGTAAGTTAAAATAATCTTCAACCAAAATATAGAGCACACATATTTTTATTCCTTCTATATTCAAAGTAATCTTATGTCTGATAGGCCAATGCATCACATTTTCAGTGTTTTATGCTTCTCTTACGAAACTAGTCATTTTCAGCTTCATTTTTCAAGTTGGACAATAGATAAATGTTCCCAGGGAGTGCAGAGTAAATGCAATACATTTTGGCCTTGCTTCCTATTGGAAAATGGCATTGTTGAGGGGGACATTTCATCTGTACTCCAGTCAAACTACACTCCAATAATAGCTCTTATTCACTGAGTGATGGCTGGGAGCAAGTCAGGGGGTTTGGTGCTTTATGTTCATGATTTCCTCACAGAATACTCTAGGCGAGATGGCATTATCCCAATTTTACAGATGTGAGAACTGAAACTCAGAGAGGTTAAATAATTTGTCTAAGGTCACACAGCTACTTAGCTTCAGAGTTTGGATTTGACGTCAGACATGTTGACTCAAAGTCTGAGTTCTTTCCATATTCTGTGGTTTTCCCTACTCCCTATGCTTTAGCACATTAGTGATTTTTTTAAATGTGGTTCCTTCTACCTAGAATGCTATTCTTCACAATTTCTACAGATCCAAGACCCAAATTTAGGGGTCACCATTTCTATACTCTCCCCTGCTGCTCTGGCTGGAAATACCTTTCCCCTTTGAGTAGTTTATCTAAATCTCTCATACAACACACTTTCTATCTTGTATTGTAATTATTTATGGTTATGCCAGGCGTCTTTGTCGCTGCCTAAAGGCAGGGTAAATATCTGATTCATCTCTGCATATTCAGAGGTCAAAGCACAGTGCCCGGCACAAAATGATGCTTAAAAAGCTTCATTATATATAATATATATATATAATATATATATTATATATAGCATAGCCATTTTTTTTATTCATCAAATAGTTATTGAGCCATTGATACATACCAGGCCTTTCTCAAGACACAAGAAGTTAAACTCCCTGACATGATAAAGCTTACATTCTAGACGGGGGTGGGGTGGGGGGTGGGGGTGGGGGTGGGGGTGGATGGGGAGACAGAGTATCAGCAGTAAATAAAATAAATAATTTAAATAAAATGTTAGAAGAAATATCGTAAAAAAATAAAAGCATTAGAGCAAGGTAAGAGGAATTAGAGCAAGGAATGGGTTGCAATTTTATAAAAGCTAATCTGAGTAGGACTCATTGACAAGGAAAGATTTAAGCAAAGATGATGTAGATGAGTGAGTTTGCTATGTGAGTATCTGGAGAAAGAGCCTTACTGGTAGAGGGAACAGCTTGCAGTAAGGCTCTGAGGCTGAAGCAAGCCTGGTTCAGTTGAGAAATAGCAAGGAGATCAGTGTGACTGAAGCAAAGAGAAAGAAGGGGCAGTAGCAGGAGACAGAGTGTGATGGTTCATTTTGCGTCAACTTGATTGGGTCATAGAGCATTCAGATATTTGCTAAACATTATTTCTGGGTGTGACTGTGAGAGTATTTCTAATGTGATTAGAATTTGAATCAGTGAATTCAGCAGCATACTGCCCTTCCCATGTTGGGTGCACATCATACAGTCAATTGAAGGCCTGAATAGAAAAGGCAGAGGAAAGGAGACTGTCCCTTCTCTACCTGACTGCTTGAGCTAAGGTATCAGTCTTCTGCTCTCAAACTGAGATTTACACAACTGGCTGCCTGAGAAGGCCTTTGGACTTGGACCGAACTACACCACTGACTTTCCTGGGTCTCTAGCTTGCAGACAGTAGTTTGTGGGACTTCTCAGCCAGCTAAGAAGTGAACCATTTCCTCATAATATAATCTCTCTCTGTCTCTGTCTCTCTCTATATATGTACATCATATATATATATATCACATATGTATGTATGTATATGTGTGTATAGGTATGTGTGTGTATATAGATACACACATATATTATGGGTTTTGTTTGTCTGCAGAACCCTGAATAATATATGGAGCCAAAGGAGGAAAGATCAGATAGGACCTTGAGGGCCATTTTAAGGACTTGGCTTCTACTCTGAGTGAAATGGTGAACCACTGCAGAGGTGGGATATAATCTGACTTTTGTTTTAAAAGTATCACATCACTCAGGCTGCCGTGTTGAGAAGCGACCACTGCGAGGCCAGGATGAAAGCTGTTGCAGTAAGAAGACAAGTGATGTTGGGAGCTCATACCTGGGTGGTAGCACCTGAGGCAGTGGAAAGTGACCAGCTTTGGGGTCTATTGTGAAGTTGGAGTCAACATGATTTCTGGACAGACTTTTTATAAAAAATGAGGGTGATTTCACTTGACTTAAATAGAAAGTTAGAAATACCAGTTGATTGAGATGGGTTAGACTGGAGGTAGATGAGTTTTGGAGAGAAACATTAGGAGTTGTATGCATGTGTCATTTTGTTTTTAATAGACTATTTTTAGAGCAGTTTTAAGTTCACACAAAATTGAGTGGATGATGCAAAAATTTCCCATATACTCCTTTTCCTAACACATGGATAGCCTCTCCATTGTCAATATCTCCTACCAGAGTGGTACATTTGTTGCAAGTGGTGAACCTGCACTGACACATTATTATGACTTGAAATCATAGTTTACATTAGGGTTCACTCTTGCTGCTGTACATTCTATGGGTTTGGACAAAAGCACAATGACACATATCCATCATCACGATACCGTACGAAGTATTTTCACTGCCCTTAAAACCCTCCTATTCCTAAATTTTCCTATATCTGCCTATTCATTTTTTACTACCTCATCATCCTCATCAACCACTGATTTTTAAATTTTCTCCATAGTTTTGCTTTTTCCAGAATGTTAAATAGTTGGGGTCATATAGCATGTAGCCTTTTCAGCTTGGCTTCTTCACTTAGTAATATGCATTTAAGCTTCCTCTACGTTTTTCCATGGCTTGATAACTCATTTCTTTTTAGCCCTGAGTAATATTCCATTGTCTGTATGTACCACAGTTTATCCATCCACCTGCTGAAGAACTTCTTGGTTGCTTCCAAGCATTGGCAATCATATGTAAAGCCACTCTAAACATCTATTTTTTGTGTGGAACTAAGTTTTCAACTATTTTGGGTAAATGCCAAGAAGTGCAATTGCTGGATTGTATGGTAAGAGTATGTTTAGTTTTGTAAGAAACTGACAAACTATCTTCCCGCCAGCAACATATGGGAGTTCCTGTTGCTCCATGTCCTCACTAGCATTTGGAGTTGTCAGTGCTCCAGATTTTGGTCATTCGAATAGGTATGTAGTGGTATCTCATTGTTTTAATTTGCATTTCACTGATGATATGATGTGAAGTGTCTTTTTATATGCTTATTTACCATCTGTATATCTTTGGTGAGGTCTTTGGTCCATTTTCAATTGGGTTGTTTGTATTATTTTTATTGTGTTTTAAGGGTTCTTTGTATATTTTAGATAACAGTCCTTTATCAGATGTGTATTTTGCAAATATTTTCTCTCAGTCTGTGGCTTGTCTTTTTTTTTTTTGCGGTATGGGGGCCTCTCACTGTTGTGGCCTCTCCCGCTGCAGAGCTCAGGCTCCGGACGTGCAGACTCAGCGGCCATGGCTCACAGGTCCAGCCACTCTGCGGCATGTGGGATCTTCCCGGACCGGGGCACGAACCGGTGTCCCCTGCATCGGCAGGTGGACTCTCAACCACTGCGCCACCGGGGAAGCTCTGTGGCTTGTCTTTTTATTTTCTTGATATTGTGTTTCACAGAGTCAAAACTTCTCATTTTAACAAGGTTCAACTTATCAACTATCTCTTCCATGAATTGTGCTTTTGGTGTTGTATCTAAAAAGCCATCACCAATCCCAAGGTCATCTAGATTTTCTCCTATGCTATCTTCTAGTTTTATATGCATGTCATTTTCCATAAATATTTTCTTTCCTACCAATTTACATTTAACATAGTACATATTTCAAATAACACTATGGGAAACAGTTCAATACAACAGGAACCTAGAAGGTGCAAATACTAATTCATTCAGACAAAAGATCTGAGTAAGTGTGCACTTTGGATTTATTTTAAGTTTCTTTAGAAAGCAATAAAAAAAGAACAGAGTTTAATGATTTTTCAATATGCAGTGAAAGTGAAAATTGTAAACACTCTTACAACAGAATATTGCCTTTCATTTTAAAAATACCTGAGCAGAGTAATTTTCTGTTAAGGGTGATACTTCACTCTATTTCTCTGTGAGATTCTTATTCTTAATAGTAAAGGTTCAATTGGAAAAAAACTTGCAAATAAATATTTTTATAAAAGTGCTTGCTAATAACTTGGTGAAAAATAATAAAAAATGATTACCAGAGAAGTTTGAATAAGAAAATGTTATGAGATAATACACATACACACATTTATAAATACACAAATACAAACACATGCATATCTCTAACTCAATATAAGGAACCATTTGATAAATTTTAACTTTCTTTGTTAAGCAAAGATTCACATCCCCCCCTTATAAGGCAATAAAATTACAAAAGATATTTATAAATGAAAACCCTCTTATTGTCAATTAATATGATACTCTTTTGCTTGTGAGAAGTATAAGTAAGATTATATTTTTACTCTTGTTCTCATAGGCTTTCATCTCTTTCTCTCTGTCTGTCACACTAAGAGGCCATAATCTTTTATGATATCCAACTATTATTGAAGATGAAATAACATATGCAACAGGAGATCCATCACAAGCTTCTATTGATAACCTGGTTAGTTTAATTACTCCTTGTTTGTCAATGGGGCCATGACTCATTACAAACAAAACCATGAAATCCGGAACATTGCCTGAAAACCCAGGCATAATGAACCGAAATAAAAATCTAATTTGTCATTAAAAGGCTATTATGCAGTACAGTGTGCATATGGCTCAGCACTAGGTACCATACAAGTTAAAGGGGCATGATCATGTTGTCTAGGGGGTTCACAGGCTGCTGTGA